TGTGTTTTCATCAACATGAATAACTGCGACAAATGTCACTTCATGTTGTCATTGAAACAATCGGAACGTGGAACGTCAACAAATGAACTGACATTTGTTCGCAATTCTTAAGTTACTCTTGTGTTGACAAAAACACGCAAAAACACGAGAAAAATGTTTGATTTTACGTTTTAAAATAACAAGATTAAATTCTTGCATTGAAAAAAAAATATTCGCGTTTTTTAATAAAAATAAACTCAAAATATTTCTTGAGAACAGAAAACCGCTCAATAAGCAATTGACACATGTATATATTTGTATACAAGCTTTTGAGTTTGACGTACGTTGTGCTTGTAGTACTTGTTCTTGCACCAGTTGGCGTTGACGTAAGAAGGCATAGCGTCGAAAAATATATGTTCCCAACCACCAAAGCTGTGGAAAGTGCATTTTTCATGTATCCCCAAGCAAAAGTTCAATTTCATACATTCAGGTGCCAAAATGCCGATTTATGACCAAAATGACAACGAAATGGATATTCAAGTGTTCGTGGACTCCCATTATTTTCACGAAAAAATAGCAGTTTTCTAAGGACAAAATGTCGTCAGAGGTGTATTTCAAGTGTTTTCCGAACAAAAATGTCATTTTCAGTGAAAATAGAGCAAGTTGAAAAATTCACTTCAATCCGACCTATTTTTCGACCATGAAATGCCCTCAGATCGCATTGTGACCACTTTTAATCGATTGCTCGTCGAAAATTGAGCGGATATGGTCTTTCGTGAGCCTTTTTCAGCCAGTAGATGCGTATTTTTGGCAGCAATTTCATCGTAGAATGCGACTCTTCGTACAAATTCCGTTCATTGATGAATTGCCTATGCCCAGAACTTGGAAATACGAATTTTCCCGGATATGTGGCATATGCCATTTTGTTGGTATGGTGGCCGGCTACAAACGCTCATTTTTTGGGAAAACATCGTAGGGCTGATTTTTGAGAAATCGCGTTTGGTGTGAAATTTAAGGGGGTCGATATGAAAAATAAATGTGTTTGTTTTGGTTTGTTTATTGGTTGATTCATGTTGACACAATGATTCTAATAGTGATATGCTGTGCAATTGAGGCTTGAAATATTTTTTTTTCTCATTTGGAAAAAATATCAATGGAATAAGAGAGATATCAGTGTAATGCAAGCAGATTTTTATGTTTTTATGTGAAAGAACTACTATTCAAAACAGTCAATAACAGTATACCCAACGTGTAAGCGTCTGAATACTATTGGTATACAACGGTTCTATTACATGTTGTTGCACCAGTTGGCGCTTCTGGGCTCATATATATGAGAACTGTCAAGAAGGCGCAGTGTCGATTGGAAACTATTTTCATTGTTTTTTTTATAAATACTTTTTTGCGTTGCTATTGGGACACCCTTTATTCCATATATTTCAAGAGTAATGCACAGAAAATCTGTGAATATTGTGAAAATGAGACAACCTCCAAATGAGAATGGGATAAATTCTGATAGAATGTGAGCACAAGTTGCAAAATTTTGCACTCTTGTACATTTATCTCAAAATATGCGGAATGAATGAAAACATATCGAAATTTTACCCCCGTTCCTTATCAGTTTGACGACTGTGTACTTCAAAAAATTATTATTCAGGGATATATTTAACTAACTACAAAAAAAATTGTTTTGAAAAAAATTGACAAATTTTATTTTATTTTATTTACCCCACCAGAAACTGGCTGATCAAACCGACTCCAAGAGTCGTGAAAACCCTGATCTTTTCGTGTTTGTACAATATAGGGTATTTTCGTACAATAGTTAGTTAGTTATAGTAGGCTTTCTCGATTTGAATTATTGTTTGGTCTATAATTTAACACAAAGAAACCCAACCAATACAAGGAAATGAGTAGTATGCCGAATTGTCAACGGTTCAAGATAATCTAACAACGCGTTTGAGAAAAGAGACTAACTGGAGCGTTAAACATATTATTGTCGGCCTTAATGACTGCAAAAGTCATCTTTCAATCTATCACAGAAGTGACATATTGAAGAAAGTTTTACATCTAGTCTAACAAGTCCCTGTTGGTAGATATGAATTTACAATTTAGTAGAGACCGAAAGACATAAAAGAGTGTTCTGATTTTCGCAATTACATTGATACAAAAGGTCGTTTCCATTATAAAGTAATAACAAGTCAAAGTTAATCACCAACTCAGAGGATGGCTATATCTGTGGGTGATATTGAGAGTTGTGTATGTTTTTGTTCGGATTTATATTTTTAAAAAGTCGTGTATGTTTTTCAGTGATTTTGTTTTAGAAAAAGAGAGCAAGTTTCTTTCGACTTAAAAATAGTTAAATGTTATGTATTTTGACTGTTGGTGGCTATGATAAAGGCGAGTATGTTTCATTAACCTTAATTTGCGTTAAACAAGAGTATGTATTTTGTTAGTTTTGGATACCAATAAACAGTAGTATGTTTTTCTGACTTTGGTAGTTGGAAAAGGCGAGTATGTTTGTCCAAATTGGTGAATATTATAAATTTACTAGTGGTCGAAATTCGACCATTTGGGAACTGGGGGCCGACCCGAAGGGCGTTTTTCAAGCGAAAAAACCATCCATTCCTGAGATATAAACTTTTTCGAAAATCTTGCACTTCGTATCTATTCTTGAAACCATTGCATTTAAACCTTCTAGTGCATTAATTTTTCCCATGGAGTCTGGTACTTGGTTGATTTTCGGCCATAGATAATGATGAAAAAAAATGCCATTATCCTGGATTCCACATGATTTAGTCAGGAAATGTGATTGATATAAATCAGAGAACAAATCAATTGTTTGAAAGTGTAAAAAAGTGCCCAATTTCGGAAGGAAAAAATTTGTTTTGTCAAATTTTTGTTTTTGGGCACATTCTTGTTTATAACACAACAATCGCTTGATGTAGACGAATAGTCCAAAAGATAAAATTATAGATGACACCAATAAATGTTTTTTGAAGCAATACGATCCGACGTATGGTTTACGTTACACAGGCGTTCATATGTTGCACATTCAAGTGGGTTAGGGTTAAATACATCCCATACGAATATCAAATTGTTAGCCAAAAAGTATTGAAAATTTAATCCGCTTTTATACGCAATTTTAAAATTTCTCGCATTTATTCATTTTGAACAAACAACCAGAAGCATATCTCACTGTTTCACTTGCCACTCTATTGATAAACTGGATCTCATCCATGTACAATTGTACATGCGCTTCTTTCTATGCGTGTATTTCACTCGTTATATTTTTGTTTGATATTTTTCCGAAAATGCAAGTTTTTCTTCATACTATTTACTGAATTCTATCATTAAGAACACACAATGGAATCTAAAATTATTCAAAGCACACATACAAAGACATGAACAAAATGGAATAACGAGTAGTCAAGTTAGCCGCATCAAACTGTGGTCATCGCATTGGTTGGAAATACCAGGTTTCAAGTTCATGCATGCATAAGTGTCATTGGGAATAAAGCTTGTCAATGGCCTGAACAGCATTTGACACAGAAGTAGAAGTTTATATTTTCTCAATAGTCCAAGATACACAGTATCGATTGCCGCGACGGCGCAACGCATCGCTAAAACGTCGTCGCTATAGCCACAACGCGTATTCAGTATATCATATATCATCAGATTAGGAATAAACTTTCACCGCTGCGGAAAAATTGATTTCCCACCAGTTTGTTGGAAGCTCTTGATTAATCAAGTTTGATATCGAAAAATGTGTCCGTTTGCATTTTATTGTTTTTCCAAAGTCAAAGCGACCTTTGCATATCTTTATATGTATATGTATATATAAAGATATAGCAAATGAAAATAGTTGACAAAAATGTGTCTCATTTTGGTGAGAATTTGTTCACAAACACAGGTTTTTGATTGAATAAATAGACACTGAGTTTCATTACTAATAACTGAATTTGTATATGTATGTTCATCGAATGATAATAACCAATAGGTTTGATAACAAATGAAACACAACTCAACATGAATGTCACATTATATTTATGTGTTGAAGACAATTTTTAAAGAATTCTTAGCAGGATAAGACAAAAATTGAAATAAAATAAAAGGAGAAAAACCAATCGATAGTAAGTACAGTAAAATTATGTTACGTTTGACATGTCACGAATTGTAATTATGCAATAATTTATATTACAGATATTTTCAGTTGATTTGCACTCAATTCAATAAAATGATTGGATGCATTCAATAGAACTTATAGAGAAGGAGAGACCAATTTTTTTTCGAAGTTTACCATTTTTACATCGAGACTAAAATAGTTTTACTATTTTTTAAAATACTATATCGACACTGCGCCTTGTTGACAGTTCCCATATAAATGATCCCAGAAGCAAAAGCCGTGCACTAGTGAAAAACCGCACAAGTGGCGCCATGAAAACTACGCGCCCGTCGCCCTTTGCGACTTCTGTCACATAGTACTTTAGTCGCCATTTTGGTTGTAATCTGATATTTTTGTTTTCTTCATAGCAAATTTTCAAATTGACACAAATTCACATATGAGCGGAATAATGAAACGTAATTCTTTTTTTAAATGAAGTGCCTCTGGGAAAATTTTTCAGTAAAAGTGCCCCACAAAAATATTGTCTGAATAAACGACACGTGAATTTGTTTTCATGCAAAAATATTCATGTACCACTTTTACTGAAAAAAATTTTACGGGGCGAATCAATTTGAACATTTTTCGTGGGGCACTCTTTCATACAATATTTTTCGGTGACTTCACTCGTATTTATCACATAGTGCAAATTAAGTGATGAGAAGCTCGAATTTCGATGTGGCGATAACACCAATGGATTGGGCACAAAAAATACCATATCTATTGGTGAGATGTAAAAGAACGCAAGTTGGTCCAACTTCGTAGCAATAAAGAGAAGTATGTTTCATTGCAACTAATAATGGTTAAAAGAATGTATGTTCGTTTTTAGCGGGTCCTCGCGGTTTTTCACGGTTTCCGCGGAACTGATAAGAGATAACAGCTTGGTGTCTTCGGCAAAGTTGTAGCACTTGAGGTCTTCTATAACATTGCTGAAGTTATCTCTTATCTCTTATCAGTTCCGCGAAAAGCGCGAAAAATGATAAGAAAAAAAAAGTTCTATAAAAAGTTTGTTTTTTTATGTGCGTGATTTGCGCGCAACTGATAAGAAATAATTAGACCCCCCATCGATATTTTTGCAAATATCGGGAATTCGTCGTCGAAAAATCGGGAAAATCGGGATGTTTTTTTCTAAATCACAAAATCGGGAAATATCGGGAGTTTTTTTTTTTAAAAATCAGGATTTTTATTGAAAAATATCGGGAATTTTATTGAAAGGAAAAAGCAAAAAAATGTATATAAATATAATGAAGTTCATGAAGATATTTCTAAGCAAAAACGTGAAAATTAGCAATCGTCGTCGGTAGATTCAATGTATGGCATGTTATTCAGTAGTAGAGCAGACTGTGACATTTGATTCTTGTCCTGTTGGTATTTAGCACCAGATTGTATTGCGATAGACGAACATTGCTTCTTTCGCGGCGTTCAGTAAGTTGTCTTTATTGTCGAAATACTTGATAACTGGCATTGTTGTTAGTCTTGCTTTCACGATATCTTGGTGTTTTTTTCGGTTTGCATGTGCATTAACGTCATTCCGCCGTGAGTGATCGAGAAATCCGTATCGCACCACGCACATTTTGCTCTTTCGGTGGAAAAGGTACCATCCTTCAGTTTTAGAGCAGACAACCAACCTTTGCACTGCGGTTGACTTTCCCAACTCTTGTCGTATTTGGTGGCTTTTGGCATTATGAAATTATAATTCGAAAACAATATTTTGGATTTTTCCAATTGAATTCAATGTTTACACTTTAGCGGTCAGTGAGTAACTGAACTAATTACACTCACAATTCGAAATCGATGCGCTCACAATTTGCAATCGATCAGCAGTTAGATGTAACCAGTGTATTAGTTTTGGCGAAGAAGCAGAAACTAATAATTCTTGGAATGAACTAATTGATTACTTTTAACATGTTCTTGCACCAGTTGGCGCTTCTGGGCTCATTTATATGAGAACTGTCAAGAAGGCGCAGTGTCGAAATATAGCAATCACTTGAAGAAAAAAACTCGAAAAAACATGTTTCAACAAAAAAAAATTATTATATTGGGTCAATTCGAAAGTTTCCGCCGCTGACATTTAAATGTCGCCACTTGTAACTGAGCGTAGCTTGACAAGTGAATCCAATTGCATTTTGTAGATGTGACATTTAGCAATCTAACTCAGAGCAGAAAGATTCATTTTTCGTTCTGCGTCATTGTTTTTGAATCGATTGAAAATGGATCGTGATAAGGTGTTTTTTCGAGGGACCCTTCTTTTCTTATTTGATTCGAAGAAAACTGCCACTGAAGCTCATCGAATGCTGTCAGATACTTATGGCGAGCAAGCTCCATCGGAACGAAGCTGCAGAGAATGGTTTCATCGATTCAAAAGTGGTGATTTTGACTTGAAGACAAAGAACGTTCAGGTCGGCCAGAAGCGATTGAAGATGTCGATTTGCAAGCATTATTGGATGAAGACCCAACCCAAACGCAAAAAGAACTTGCATTGCAGTTAAACGTCGGCCAAACAACCATTTTCAGACATTTGCACGCCATGGGAACGACGCTATGCCTTCTTACGTCAACGCCAACTGGTGCAAGAACAAGTACTACAAGCACAACGTACGTCAAATTCAAAGGCTTGTATACAAATATATACATGTGTCAATTGCTTATTGAGCGGTTTTCTGTTCTCAAGAAATATTTTGAGTTTATTTTTATTAAAAAGCACGAATATATTTTTTTTCAATGCAAGAATTTAATCTTGTTATTTTAAAACGTAAAATCAAACATTTTTCTCGTGTTTTTTCTCGTGAAAACACAAAAATTTCATTAAATTTCATATATACCGGGTCTAGAATATTAGAATAATTTTTTTTATTGAAACATGTTTTTTTGAGTTTTTCTCTTCAAGTGATTGCTATATACAAACGTGGTATTTCATTGTGTGGTTTGTGTTTGTTTTGGTTTGTTTATTGGTTGATTCATGTTGACACAATGATTCTAATAGTGATATGCTGTGCAATTGAGGCTTGAATTTTTTTTTTCTCCTTTGGAAAAAATATCAATGGAATAAGGGAGATATCAGTTTAATGCAAGCAGATTTTTATGTTTTTATGTGAAAGAACTACTATTCAAAACAGTCAATAACAGTATACCCAACGTGTAAGCGTCTGAATACTATTGGTATACAACGGTTCTATTACATGTTCTTGCACCAGTTGGCGCTTCTGGGCTCATATATATGAGAACTGTCAAGAAGGCGCAGTGTCACATGGGAAAGATTCGGAAGCTGGGAAAATGGGTTCCACATCAACTGTCTGAAGAGCAACTTCAAGCACGAATCGCAATATGCACAAAACATCTTGCAGAGCACAAAAGAAACAGTTTTTTGTATCGGATTGTTACCGGCGATGAAAAATGGGTTTATTATGAGAACCCCAAACGTAAGGCAGCGTATGTTGATCCAAGCCAACCGGCACCATCACAACCAAAACGAGATATTCATTGCCATAAGATCGTATATTATGAGCTGCTAAATCCAGATCAAACGATTAATAAGGAACGCTATCGACGCCAATTGGCCAGTTTGGCACGTGCATTGAACGAAAAACGGCCATTAATAGCCCGAAAACACCACAAAGTTTTGTTCCACGATGACAATGCGAGGCCACATCGTGCAAAAATCGTCAAACAAAAGATAGAGCAGCTCGATTGGGATCGGCTTGATCAGCCCGCGTACTCTCCAGACCTTGCTCCTTCTGACTACTACTTGTTCCGTTCGATGCAAATGGCCCTGTCCGAAGTACGCTTTCAAAATGAAGAAGAAGTACGAAAATGGATAGATGACTGGATAGCTTCAAAAGGTGAAGACCTCTTCACACGAGGAATCCACAAGCTGCCAGAAAGATGGCGGGAAGTCATAGCTAACGATGGCGAATACATTGGTTAATGTAAGGCTGCCAACTATTTTCTACCAGTATACTGGAAAATTCAGTACCAAAGCCAGTTTTTTCTCAATATCTCGGAAACGGCTGGATTTAGGCCCCAAATCTCGGCCTCCGGCTACCATCCCCATTAAATTTTCCGCCCGATCGAATGGGACTTCTCATAATTTTCCCCGATTTTCCATTTTCCTTTTATAGCGATAAGTTCATTTTCGGAAAATTTTCCAGGATTTGCAATTTTCCGAAAAATTTTCTTGAATTCGTTTTCAGCATACGATCGTACATTCATAAAATGAAAATGGTTGGAAAATCTTGGAAAACTCGGGAAATATGGAAGATTTTGTAAAAATAAAATGTACTGAAAATGACCCTAAATTTATATATGAGGCCATATTTTGGCTCCAGTGACTTTTCCGGGAAATCTGATCAGATAGAAAACTTCCTTGGGACTTCCTCTTTCCATATGTGTAAACAAGAATTTGCTTCCGACACACGAAGTTTTTTTACGAATTTTATTAGTGTACTGAAAAAATCAGTAGAGTTGGCAGCCTTAGGTTAATGTACATTTTCAATTTAATTTGCAATAAATGTATTTTTAGACAAAAAAAACGGCGGAAACTTTCGAATTGACCCAATAATATTTCAGACCCGGTAAATATAAAATTAAATGAAATTTTTGTGTTTTCACGTGTTTTCATCAACATGAATAACTGCGACAAATGTCACTTCATGTTGTCATTGAAACAATCGGAACGGGGAATGTCAACAAATGAACTGACATTTGTTCGCAATTCTTCAGTTACTCTTGTGTTGACAAAAACACGCAAAAACACGAGAAAAATGTTTGATTTTACGTTTTAAAATAACAAGATTAAATTCTTGCATTGAAAAAAAAATATTCGCGCTTTTTAATAAGAAGAACTCAAAATATTTCTTGAGAACAGAAAACCGCTCAATAAGCAATTGACACATGTATACATTTGTATACAAGCTTTTGAATTTGACGTACGTTGTGCTTGTATTATTTTTTCTTGCACCAGTTGGCGTTGGCGTAGAGAAGGCATAGCGTCGGAATTTCACTGTTTTGAATAAATACGAACAAGTGTCACTTCATTTGTTTACGTTCTGTTCACGAGAATCATGTTATGTTTTTTTTTTAATCAAAAAGCGTATTTAATTGTTCATTCCAATGCAAAAAATCAATTTTTTCATTTTAAAATTTCAAATAAAAATGTTTCCGTATTTTTGCGTATTTTTATCAACACAAGAGTGACTAAAAAAATTTCGCCATAAACAAATGAACTGACGTCCGTATTTTTCGGTATTTTTTCAACTCGATGAAACATCCGGAAATAGCGCTTTGTTACTCTTGTATTGACAAAAACACGAGAAAAAAATGACTTTCCCGGACTTTACGTTTTAAAATCGGAACGTTGATTTTTCTGCATCGGATTAAAAAAATATTGACGTTTTTCAATAGAAAATAAAATTAAATTGAGCTGGACAACTGAAAATCGCTCGATGAGCCACTTAAACATGTATACATACGTATACAAGCTTTTGAATTTGACGTAAGTTGTACTGTAGTTACTCTTGCTAGCAGCAGTTGTCGCTTCTGGGCGCGTTTGTATGGGAATTGACAACAAGGCGCTGCGTCGATGCTGGGAATTTAAGTACCAGTATTATGTCTCTCTGATCCTGAATTTCAGCTATTCGTTGTCAAAAAACAAAAAAATGATAATCCGATTACGTAGCCACTTTCTGTATAAAAGCACAAGAATACACAAGTGCTATAATGGTTTAACAGTTATCACGATATTGACTGAAATATTTATATTTTTTATATTTATTTATTATATTGTATTTTTTCAGATTTCATCATATGCACAGAAAACAAGACAGCAAGCAAAACATTCATTGAGAAGGAGCGTGTGACTCATCTAAAAATTCAATACTTCTACTGCTTACAATAACGACTAAGAACTAACAGACTTGCGAAACCCGAGACTTGCGAATATATATTGATTTGGTAATGGCAATACGCAAATTGCAATTTGTTGCTGTTATTTCTATGGGTGAGATTGAGAGTGGAGTATTTTTTTTCTTCGATTTATATTTTTGAAAAGACGAGTATGTTTTCTGATGATTCTATTGGCGTTAAAGTAGAGTATGTTGTAGTACCGTCTAGCCTCCGCGGTCTTCATGGTTTTCGCGCAACTGATAAAAGATAACAACATGGTGTCTTCGGCAAAGTTGTAGTACTTGAGGTCTTTTATGACTAAGCTGAAGACAGTTATCTCTTATCTCTTATCAGTTGCGCGCAAATCGCGCACATAAAAAAGCAAATTTTATATAGAACTTTTTTTTTCTTATCATTTTTCGCGCTTTTCGCGGAACTGATAAGAGATAAGAGATAACTGTCTTCAGCAATGTTATAGAAGACCTCGAGTGCTACAACTTTGCCGAAGACTCCAAGTGGTTTTCTCTTATCAGTTCCGCGGGAACCGTGGAAAACCGCGAGGACCCGCTAAAAACGAACATACTCGCTTTTAACCATTTTTAAGTCGACAGAAACTTGCTCTTCTCTTTCGTAACAAAGTCAATCAAACATACACTACTCTCAATCTCACCCATAGATTTAGAGTTAATTTGTTGTTTAGTAAGTCGAATTATTGATGAACTCTAAACTGGCCCAGAAATATTTTTGTTGAATTTTTCAAAACCTATAAATTTGGGAAACTCAAAAGGAAGTAATGAACTGTATGAAGTTCATGAATACATCGAGAAATAAAATCATTCGATTACAAACACGGCTTTAACGGTATCAAGTTATAATTGAGGCTGTGAGAATGAAAATGGCAATACAGGAATAGACATTCTGAAGCGCATCAAGAAAAAAAAATCGCAAAAGTGAGTTCTGAATACGCAAAATGAGTTCTGAATACGCAAAAGTGAACCATGAACCTCCTATGCTGCCCATGTAAATTCATGTTTCACTTTTGCATATTCAGAACTCATGATTCATTTTTGCCAATTTATTTTCTTGATGCGTTTCGAATGTTTATTCCTGTATTGCCATTTTCATTCTCACAGCCTCAATTGGAATCAATTGATTTTCCCAGCAATTTCGTTGTCAAATACACACAGTGCACGTACACTCACATCGATTATAGTTGTAAAATCTGTGACTGAAAGTGAACATAGTTCGAACAAAATTCAAGCAACGGGAACCATGCGTGAGGCTTTTCCACCAATTCTACCAAGCCTTCCGTCTGGTTCCCCGGACTTAGAAAGAACGCATCCTAAACTCACTGGACAACAGTCCGTCCATCAATTGGATACATCGACAACGATTGAATCGGCCATCAAGAGCTTTCCAAATAAGGACAGCACCGATTCAGTCACCTCATTTGGTCTTATTCAAAAATCAAAGAAGACAACGACAAAAATTGGACACTCACCCCATCACCATCGGAATTCTTCACCAAACACAAAGTACGGCAACTACACTGGTAGTCCAACATTGAAAAACGAATCGAGAACACTTTCTGAACGAGGTATATCCAGAAAAAATTTAAACGTTTCATTCGACACCCATAGAATAAAAGAACAACTGATGCGGTTGAAATGAAAATGAGACTTTCGTCGCTCAATACACAGATACGAAACAAAAATAAAGCAATCCATTAAAATGGAACATGGAAAAGAAATCTGTAAGAATGAAACATAGCATGTGCTGTTTTAAGTATTTCGCTTTGCGGTGTTCCGTTTTGATAGATTTTTTGTCTGCAGTGTCGTTATGAACGAATCTTCTCGCATTGTGTCATATCACTGGATCTATATCACATTGTTTCGTTACTCGAATATTTTTTCGTGTGTTTCATTTCAATTGATTCCCGAGCTATTGATGACGTCACTAGTATTTATCACATGATGCAAATTAAGTGATAAGGAGCCCAAATTTCGATGTGGCGATAACACCAATGGATTGGGCAAAAAAAATACTATATGAAAATCGAAAAAAAAATTTAAACTTCTTTTTCGATTTTTGCCTGTTCCCGACCGTCTACATGGGGAGTTTGTATGAAAACCTCGGAGCGCCGCTGGTATTGCATTGGCTTCTATGGCCAAATGTACACATGGAAATATCTCGAAAACGGCTGGGTTAATCGGCAAAACGGACCATGATGTCACTGTGATATAGATCCAGTGATATGACACAAGAAGATTCGTTCATAATGACACTGCAGACAAAAAATCACAAAAATTTCATTTAATTTTATATTTTCTAAAATATTAGAATATTGTTTTTTATTGAAACATGTTTTTTTAAGTTTTTCCCTTCAAGTGATTGCTATATTTATTTATTTATTTATTTATTGTGCAATTGAGGCTTGAAATATTTTTTTTTTGCATTTGGAAAAAATATCAATGGAATAAGGGAGATATCAGTTTAATGCAAGCAGATTTTTATGTTTTTATGTGAAAGAACTACTATTCAAAACAGTCAATAACAGTATACCCAACGTGTAAGCGTCTGAATACTATTGGTATACAACGGTTCTATTACATGTTCTTGCACCAGTTGGCGTTTCTGGGCTCATTTATATGAAAACTGTCAAGAAGGCGCAGTGTCGGGACGGACAATGTCCGAAAATTTTATCTCGGACAAACGGACAAACGGACACTGACAGGTTTTGTACGAAACATTTCGGACACGCTTTTTTGTCCGAACATTCGAACAGTCCGAATGTTCGGACACGTTTTCGGACGGACGGACAATTTTTTGTCCGAAATTTGTCCGAAAATTTCAATGAAACTAAAAACACGTTTTTCCCGTCCGTTTGCCAAAAATTTCAATGCGCCAAATGACTCGCACAATTTTTTAGTATCAATGGGTGCAGGTGCATACCATCGGGACCCGTACCTTTCTTGGTGTTCACGGCTTGTAGCTCTTCAAGCACAAAATTTTTGTCGAGCTGGAATTCCTCCTTTGCTGTGACTCAACGGTAGGCGATTGTTGAACGCCTTGAGTCGATGAGTCATCGTAGTTGCCACTGATGAAATTAGCGAACAGGTTGGCCTGGTCGCTTGTTGTGCGCACATCACCAAATTGCATGACTTTTGGTTTGTTGTCGGTGCTCTTCTTCGAATTGACATATTGCCAAAATCTCGATGCATCATGCTTGAGCGAGGATTTCATTTTGTCCACGTAATCGTTGTATAGTTCCGTGTTGAGTTTGTCAAATTCACGAGACGCCAAAATATCTATCCATTTGTAGTACGGTTTAAAGCCAGACCGTCTGTAGCGTTTCCATGCCTTATTCTTCCTATGAGCCATCGACAAACTAAAGGTTTGGTGCGACGTGAACAATTTGCACCTGAACCTTGACAAATGTGCAGTCCTTACAATCACCACAAAAAGGAAGGACATCATCGACACTAATTATAAATACGGTGATTTTACCTTCAAGCGCGTACTGGACCACAAAGATCTCGGCGTCATCATTGACCAAAAGCTTAGCTTTATAAAGCACATTGACGCGGTCACCTCGAGAGCCACAGCAGCCTTGGGATTCATCAAAAGTATCACCAACTTATACCGTGCATATCGACAAAATTGAGAGCGTGTTGAGAAAGTTCACCCAGTTCGCCCTGTTTGACTTACAAAAACTCAACTACTTCCACAAAAACTCAAGAGATAGAAAGTTTCTATGTGAAGAAGAGAAGAATGAATAACTCTTCTTAGAAATTCTACTACACAGTGCCACACAGTGGGTTTGTGCAATAATTAATTCACCAAAAATAGTTTCCTTATAAAAAATGTTCAATCAGTATCATATTGATACTGTTAAGAAGAAGAGTTGCTTTATGAAATTTTTTTAGTGAGAAATTCTCAAATATAGATAAATTCCGTGTATCATCCTCCATTTGTATTGTCTTTACATTGAAGGGCATTGCACGCACCTCAGCATTCATAATACAAACTCAATACGAGTCTAGACGTCCTATGAAAAATGGCAGAGATTGTTAGTGCTACGGTTAATCTGTACTTTTATTGAAATCATATACTAATTATATACTAACATTGTACAAAATCCAATTCAGCCAGTGATTGGCGGTGTTAAATATGAATAAAAATGAAAAGTTATTGTAGTATTTGAGAATCGAAACATTTCTATGCTCTTTTAATAATCAACACAACATTTACACAAGAACAAATAGTTTGATTAATTTTCTTATTAGTTTTGAGAATTTTTCTTCATAAATCCATCCAATCGAAAAAGACCATTACAACTAGTTATTGTATAAAATTACCATATATTGTACATATATTGTACAAACACAAAAAGATCAGGTTTTTCACGACTCTTAGAGTCAGCGCCGTAGCCAGGCCGGCGCAATGGGTGCATTGCACCCTCCAAAAATTTCACCGGTGCAAAAAAATTTTTGTTTACGTCATTTTAATGACCAAAAAAATCGAAAATTACAAATCTTTTAAGCAATAGTCAAGCAAAACATGTTCATTTAATGAAAAAGAAAACAATAAATAAAGTATAAAGCAACAAAAAAAAATTTCGATTTTGCACCCTCCAATTTTTTTTTCTGGCTACGGCGCTGCTTGGAGTCGTTTTCCTGCAAACCAAAATATTCAGCCAGTTTTTGGCGGTGTTAAATAAATGAATGAAAATAAATAAATAAAATTTTCATTAAGAAGTATCATAAGAAAGTACTGTGAAGATACGATCATCCGTTGGAAAATTATTAGCGTTAAATGAACCATTTGTTGAAAAATTTAAATTTTTGGCCAACGGACGGGAAAAACGTGTTTTTATTTTCATTGAAATTTTCGGACAAAAAATTGTCCGTCCGTCCGAAAACGTTTGTGTCAATGAAGAAAAGTATTGAAAATTCAATTTTGAAGCCCTATTACGGGGAA